ATACTTTTGTCCTATTATATTTGTTTGTTTTGATCTTCTTCTTCCTTTTTACACTATTATTGATATAATTTTATTATATATCTTTTTTTTTAATTATCACTACTATATATATTTTAACTTTTCATATGGTGTAATATATTCATGTTCATATTTGAATTTATAACATTGCATTTGATCTTTATATTCCTTAAATTAATGAAGTATACGTTTATTATATTATTTTTATCAAAATAGTTTATAAAGAACCTAACATAATACCATTTTAAAGGACAAGCATACTTTAATAATTTCAAAACAAAATATTATAATGTTCCAAGAATGATATATTTTCGGTAAATTATTAGTAATTATGCAATTAAGGTATATAATCCTAACGGGCACTATAAGAAACTGAAAAATTATCCTTATGAAAACGCTGTTTGCATTAATTTTTGATGAAAAACAAAATGTAACATTCAGCTAACAATTCACATAAGCAAAACGATTGCTTCTACTCAAACTTTATGAAATATGTATAAAATTTTAAGAGCCTAATTAAAATAACCCCTAAAATTTACTCAAAAATTGCGTTTTTCAAAGTTTCCCTAAATCTTCTCATATGTATATTAGTTGATCTGGTAAAAATGTTAAATACTTTTAATATCTAGTTTTGAATTTATTTCACTTTGAAATTATCAGGTACCATATTTGTTATAAAATTTAGCACTATTTAGACAAAAAACTATGATAATTAAATAATAAAAATTGAACACTTTTTTTCTACCCAAAAGGGATATGAGAGATACATAAATAACATAAAAAGGAAAGAAAAATGTTTTTAAAAAGTTGGACATTCTGGGGTTTGAACCCACGGTCCTAAATTTCAATGTCATTAACAGAAGCTTATTTGATATCTCTCTATATATCTATAACATGAATACATTAGGATTTCATACCTTAAGCAATACTTAAACATTTAATATACATATGATTACAGTCAATGCTATTGAAGTCTATCTCTATATAAGTCAGTGTTGTTAAAATACAAAAAAAATCCGTAAAGTAATACCAAGCTTATTAAAAATGAAGGCAAAATTCATTATGGACATTAGACAAAATCGAATCATAAGACTCATCAATTCATAATTTGAATTTGACAAATGTTTGTCCAAGTATGTTCAATTAAAAACCTCTTAATTCTTGTCCCAAAATTCTGTGCACAAGTATACACAATGTATGAATTAATACAAGTATACCAATTTTAAGCAAAAACGAAACTAAGAAATTACAAATATTGACCTTCATATGAAGAAATTTAAGCAAGGCATATGTGATTTATTTTTCAAGGACATGTCCTGAATTAGTTTGTAAAGTATGAAGACAACCATTTATATATACAAAAGTAAACTGAAAATATATGTTTCAAATCACACAAATCATAATTTGACCTTCAAGATCAAATACCATTGAGAACATCATAATTATTAGTTACTTGAATGTCTGTAAAAGAGCATTGTTGTGTTCAAAATAAATTTGGGAAAAAACAAATCCCCATTTTATCACAAACTATCTCAAAGTTTAAAGCTTTTTATCTCAGAAATCAAGCAAATTTTTGAAGGTCATGATCATTTTATGACAAATTCAGTTTGGTTTACTTGTACACAGGATTGTTGTGTCCAGTAAAAAAGACAATTCATTAACAAAAATAAAAATTGGCCAATGTTAAATTTTCTTGACATTAATGCAGCCTGACTGTACAGTGTTGCAATAGGTCAAAAAATATTTAATTATTTAAAATGGGTAAGCCATATATAATTATTTCTTAATGGAAAGAACCAAACACATGTTATTTCAGCATATTTATTATACAAATAGAAAACATAAATTGTATTATGTGTAACCATTGATGATTTTGTTATACATTACTTATCACTAAATTTTAGAAAAACCATAAAATCAAACAACTTTTTAATGTAATGGGTATAATTAAATAGCAAAGCATTTCTTACATTAATTATACATACAATGTAGTTTAACTTTTTTAAAAAGTAAATGTAAGTGTGCCTTGATTGTGTTCTTTTGAAAAAGATGTTGTTATTCATAGTGATCTCAACAATGTTAGAACAAGATCTGAAACATTTTAGCGAGCACAGATTAGATTAGAAATTTAATTAGAGAGACCATCAATCCATTCACTTTTACTGACTATGTATTTACAAAGTATTACCAAGATGAAAAAACAAGACTAAATTTCTTTTAACTTCTGATAAAATGATTGCAAAACGTTATTAATTATGAAAGCAGCAATCTGCAAAAAGTATCCATAAAGTAAATAAATTTCATTAATTGCTATAAGAAGCGCATATCACATTTCAATTATCATTTGGACTTTAACAGTCCATCAAACAAACAAAAATGTATTTGTTAATATGATCATTTTATTTATCGTCAAACAGATATACATATATAAAGTTCATTTCTAACATATACATAGAATATGATGCTGTTGTAAACCAAATCATACCATCAATAACAATCTTAAAAATACCAATAAAAAGAATATATATTTTATGAATAACTATGAATGCTTAATACATGGATTGTTGTGACCTGATGAAACAACGTACCGGAATCAATTAAGCAAGATGCATCAAACAAGTACAACACTGCTTCCTTTGAAGCTGCATGCCTCTACATGAGCCAAAATATTTTTAGAAAAAATGTACTAAGAAAATTAAAAACATTTCAAAAGTCAAGTAACAACTACACGTGTCATAAATTACTGATTTTACAGTATTTATCACGTGACTGATGCAATAAGGGTTATTTTTGAATATTTTGACCTCATTGTTTTGTAATTTACATGGATTGTATGTACTGTTTGCAAAGTGAAATTACTTTCTTTGTACACTACCGAATACTTCACAACTACATACATTTCCATCATTTTCATGTATATGCTGCTTTGACATAGTGTTTACTTTCAACTAAATAGTGGTGAATAAAAATAATTGGACAATATTGTTTTCAAGCCAAGCTTAAGACATCATGGACCACAAACACAGTTTATTGACTTCATTTTCTCATTAAGACAAGGGCATTAATTTCATGAAAAGTGGGGAATTCTTTTATCATCATGGTTTTTGTTGAACATTTCTAGTGAAAGAAGACCTTAAGTCGGAAGGTTGTGGTTGTTCGAAGGTGCCTGCATGCGACTTCCTTTCATAAAACTCGAAGGAGCATCCGAGTATAACCACTTCCTTGTTGCCATGCCTAGGGTTCCTTTTCTAAAATAAATTTATTTCATGTATCTACTTTTTTTTCTTATTTTATTTCATTTTCTTTGTGGGGGGAGGGGGGGCACGGGTAGGTTTAATATCTCATCAAACAGTACATGTATAGCTCATAAGGCAACTTTTCAGCTTTACTGGTAGAGAAAGACCACAGATGATTTTCCATGCATTATTTCTGGCACAAGCGTGCACCTAAGTAAAATTACCAACATATCGTAAACCAGCTGGTCGGCTTCCTTGCATGCAAAAACAAAATGAACCTAATGCGTTTAGGGACAAGTAGTTTGAAGTCAATAGCTTTTACCTCAAGGTTACTGACACCTAACCTATTTATTTAAAACAAATATTTTGTTGTTAAGAAAATGCGGACATATAATGGTAAATGGGGCAAACCATGACAAAAAATATGCAAACCTTGCAAAACAGCAAATCACTAATCATAATAATACACACATAAAACCTAATGTGAAGCAATTTCTGTTTGTAAAGATGCTGTCAGTGTCTTGTCTTACTTTGATACAAAGTCAATACAAGTGTTTTAAAGCTGCACGCCTCCAGATGAGCCAAAATATTTTAAAAAAAAACAATCTTAAGAAAAAGAAGTGTACTAAGACTTTAGGAAAAGTAAAAAGATTCAAAAATATATCTACATGTTGTGTGAGATTAGTGACTGATTTTGAAGTATTTCAAATTTGTCACCATTTTCTAATGCCTGACTAACACAGAAAGGGCTTTTTTAAAATTTTACCTCTGTTAATTTATTATAAGTAGATTGAGTGTTATTGTTTATGTGTGTAAATTATTTACTTTGTTCACAACATGATACATTTACATAACATTTTAAATTGGCATGTCTGGAGGCATCTGAATTCTATCTCTGAACATTGTAATATGTAAATCATAAAACAATGTTTTATTTAACATCATTACAAATGTTTTATATATATTTTATATATCATACAGCAATATTATTTACAATTTATGTGACATCTACATACGAGAGCTGTCACAGGACTGAAAAATACCCCACCTAACTTCTATGACAGGATATTATGCATTGAATGTATTATTATATTGAAAAAAAAAAACGATTTCAGCTGAGACACGGAACAAAAAAATATTTGAAAAGGTATAGAATCTATAGTGCAGCCAAAAATGTAAAACTTTGACCTTAAAATGGTAAATATGACCTTAGGATGCACAGCAGTGTCATAGAGAACCGCATATTGCCTAGTGGGGATAACATTTGAATAAAAATTTTAAAAAATTCCTTCAACTGGTAAATAGGATTATAAAGTGGACAAAAACCTTTGACCTTTAATGGTGACCTTGACCTTGTACAATGGGCAGCATGGATTCTGCACAATTCCTCATTGAGGTAAAGCTGACCTAAGTTTAAAGAAATCCTTCAAGGTACATGATTAAAGAGGAAGACTCTAAAAATGTACGATTTTTTACCGATGACATTTAAGGGTGACACTGACCTTGAACCAACACTGCGGTGTCATGGGTTCTGCAAATTGCTTAAGCTGAGGTGTGAATTTGGGCCAAGTTTAAAAAGGTAAAGGATTTGTAAAGTCGTAACAATGGAGAATGATCGATTGACTGCCAACTTGCAAAGTGATTCCAGTATAGTTTCCTCCAAATTATGTGTGTGGGGGTTATAATAGATTACGTATATTGTATAATGGTCCTGGTTTCAAACAAACTGTGTAACCAAAATTAAAGAAAATTCAGCAAAACTGCAAAAAAAAAATTATATTAGGATATCATTTCGATATACTCTTTCCTTTATCATTCAGAACATACATAAACTACATAAGCTAAATACAAGTCAAAAGTTATTCATTTCTTCTTGTTTACAACTTTTACTGGTTCAGCTACACCTTTTGACAGAAGTCCACCATCTTTACCATTATAAAGTGGTGGCCATACCAAAAAATCAATTGTTTGTCCAGACTGACTGTACACTGTATAGATATTTGTATCAAACTTCTCGCCTGGTTTGACCTCCATTTTCATCACCAAAGGAGGGTCATGCAGAGCCATAAGCCAGCAAATCTCAGCACATTTCTGTATATAAGGTGTACACGCTTCTATATGCTTTTTATCGAATTCTTTTTTCTCCCTTTTATCCCATGTTTTAGAGTCTGCAAGCAATGCCTATGATGAAATAAAATTTCAAAAACGTTTAAGCATCTTATCATTCAAATATTGTTTGAAAATCAAGAGAAAAGAAAAATAAATTCTGTGGCAGAAATTCTGTAGCAGAAAAACATGGCTACATGATTTTAATGCTAGAGGTAATTTAAACTTGGTTCCTAAACTTGCTCAATGTCCACTATAGGGCATGCCAAATGTACATTAAAAACAGCCCATCATCAGGGGAAACACAATGACATTTGGAAGTCGATCAGCCAACTTGCTGAAAAACACTATATGGTTTCAAAAACTACAAATGTTACAACAAACACCTTTCATAATGTGGAAAATATCAATTAAGCATTTTTATGCCCCCTTCCAAGCTGAGGGGGCATATTGTTTTGCTAATGTTTGTCGTCGGTTGGTCTGTCCGTCGGTAAACCATTTTGTCATTTAAGTCTTTATATTCAAATAGTGATAGGCCATAACTAGTAGATGACCCCTATTGATAAAAGGGTCACAAAGTTAAACGTCTAGGCCACAGGAGCTTTAAATGCCAAAATGGTATCTGCTCATTGTCTTTGTAACTTTTTATCCCAATATCTTCATATTTCATATACTGATTGATCATAACAAGTAAATGACCCCTATTGATTTTAAGGTCACTAGGTCAAAGGTCAAGGTCACAATAAATGTCAAAACGGTTTCCTCTGATTATCTTGTAAAACTATTCATCATAAAATCTTCATATTTCCCACAGTGATTGGTCATTACTTGTAGAAGACCTGTATAGATTTTGGGATCACTAGGTCACATATTGATTTTGGGGTCACTAGGTCAAAGGTCAAGGGCACAGGTGCCTTAAATGTCAGAATGGTTTCTTGCCATTAACATTGAAACTGTATGATACAAAGTCTTCATATCCAACATATTTATAGATCATAATGGGGTCACTAGTTCAAAGGTCAAGCTCTTGCAAGGTAACTTGCACTTTCCAGTACCGTCCATGAACAGCCTCAATCAAACCGAGCCTGCAACATTTTCAATTTTGCCGTGTTGGGCTTTCTTTAGGGATTCTGTATTTATCTATTTTATGATCACATCCGTGTTATTTGTGCCGTGTGGCGGCTGTAAAAAGTCTTCCCGTACATTTAATCAATGATGTTATATTTTCGATCCTTGAAGATCGTTCAGCACGACATTATTGTTGTGCTTGTGGTATTTTTAGTTTCAACTTTTCAGCATTTTCTAGTTGGGTGGTTCCAATATTTCTACTTGAATAATGTTGAATCACCCTTAGGATATGTTACCTGCTTTTTAAATTTGTCTTTTGACGTCTTATCTGTAATACACAGGCTTCATAACCTCTGATCCCCTTTCAAAATTCCATTTTATTTAGTTCCGCCAATTGTTTTCTCGTTTAGGGCACACGCTTCTTTTTACTTGGGGACCATACGCCGATTTTCATGGAATGGCACGGAAGTGTCACATTGAAGGTTCCATGATAACCGCCGTATGAACACATCTGCGGATGTTTCTAAATTCAAAATTTTACTATTTCATGTTTAAATGTTGAATTCTGCTTAAGCCGGTGCTAGGGGGCGTGGACGGTAACTTGCACTTTCCAGTACCGTACATATCTATTTTATGATCACATCCGTGTTATTTGTGCCGTGTGGCGGCTGTAAAAAGTCTCCCCGTACATTTAATCAATGATGTTATATTTTCGAGCTTTCTTTAGGGATTTTGTATTTATCTATCTTTATATTTCACATTTTGATTTCGGTTATAACTAGAAGATCATTATTTTTCTTCTTCCTTTCCTTAACTGAACACTTCCATGTACCCATTTCTGGCAAGTGTCTATAACAAAATTACCAATAATGTGAGTCAATGGCTAGAAAGGGGGCATATGTGTCGTTTAACATTTCTTGTTTACATCTTCTTTGATCTTTTAGACTGACTGACACTGTAAAGGTCAAATGGACATTCCCTTTAAAGTGATGGGTGCCCCTTTTGAGGGTTTTTTCAGGCACCTGAGTAGAACCATTAATCTTCTGTAAGCTAACTGGATATCTTCATAACAATAAACAATTCAAAGTCCCTGATGAGAATCAAATCAACATCATTAAGGGGTGAGTGACTAGAAGTCTGAGTAAACCACTTCCTACAGATGTCCATTTCATGTCTTTTAAGGATTACAGGTGTTTTTTAATTATTAGACTTAACCAAAAATTTCAATTCATCATTTCATCATTTCAGTCACATGACACTCCTCCAAATAAAAATAAACAAGCAATTATCATAGTATTGCAAGCAATCCTTAAGTCCCCTACCGGTTAGAACCCCTGCAACATTCTGAAGGGCCATTGGCCATTCAGTTATGTATCTATTTTAAGTAAATTTGTTGAAAAAGTTCTTTAAAAGTGATCACAGGAAACAGTTTTATGCACAGACAGACTGACGGACTGAAGGACACTCTAAAGTTATTTTTTAAACATCACTGTTATCAAAATATAACATTTCTAAAAGCAAAATTCTTTAAAAAGGAGATAACGCTTGAAATAAAGATGCAAGACGTCATACACGATGTGAGTGTAACAAAGAACAATTAGTAATGAAAGTGTTGATAATGAATGTTTGTTTTGAATTTGAATTAAACGAAAGTTAAAAAAAACAATATTTTTTCATGAAAATTCTAAGTTCAAGGGAGGAAATTCTGATAAATGTTGTGCTAGAGTTGTAAACCTTGTCACATATGATCTGGTTGATGACTAGAAATTTATATTTAAAGTTTGAAGAAAATACCTAAAGAAATAAAGAACATATAGTGAAAAAACGTAAAAACTAGAATCCGAAATCTTGAAATTCAGTCTATTTGTTGCCATAGCAACCAAAGTTTTCAACATAGGAAGAAAAGAAAAAGATGTGCATAATATCCAGACTGCCATCTACCCATATTTCAAGTTTCATTGAAATATTTTCAGTACTTTTGTGTTACTGGATCCAGGTTTGTGTAAAGTTTGCTTTGTTTTCAGTCTATTTGTTGCCATAACAACCAGAATTTTCAACATAGGAAGAATAGAAAAAGACGTGCATAATCTCCATACTGCCATCTATCCATATATCAAGTTTCAAAAAAATATTTTCAGTACTTTCAGAGTTATCGCGGGATCCAATTTTGTGGACGGACGGACTGACGGACGGACGTTCCTACCAATGGTCATTTATTGGGTACTTCGTATGTGTAAAGGTACCCAACAAGAGAACATAACCCAATACCCAACAATACTGACGGAATGAATAGAATTACCCAACAAGTGTCCTCTCGTGTGTTGGAGGTACCCAACAAGTATCCTCTCATTTGCCCGGACAGACGGACGGACTGACGGACAGAGGGTAAACCTAAAGTCTCCTCCGGTAAACCGGTAGGGGACTAAAAACAATAAATTAACTAGAAGGGGTTTTTGTCACAAAAACATATGTTTCCTAAAACAATGTATGGTACTGATCACTTCTTTGAATTTTTGTCAAAATCTTGCCAGCAGTTAAACCTTTGAAATCAGGGACAAAAATTTTCTATTTATAGCTCTCATTGCCATTTTGTGCAGCAAAGCAGAGCATGCCGAGATATGCACAACTAGGGATGGTACTGGTCACTGCTGTGAAGTATCATTATAATCCCACCAGTAGTTTGACCAGTGAATGCCGGACAAAATTTTTCTGGTCATAGCTCTGGCAGCCATTTTGTGCAGTGAAGCAGAACGTGCCAGCCATATGCACATATAGGTATGGTACAGATAACACCTGTGTAGTTTCATTGAAAATTCACAGCAGTTTAACCTGTGAAATCCAGACAAGATGTTTCTATTTTTAACAATGACGATCATTTTGTGCAGCTGAGTGGAACGTGCAAGCTAGGGATGGTACTGATCACTCCTGTGAAATCCAACCAGCTGTTTGACCTGTGAAAGCAGAACAAGCTGAATGCAGAAGGACAACAAAGTCAAAATCAGTTTGTTTTTTAGACAAAATTGTTGGAAATGTAATTCATGTGATTGGTGAATTCACTTTAACTTCCATTTCACAGCAACAAATCTGTATTGTTCATTTAATTGACTATCAAAGGAACTATGTTGACATTACCTGTTTAACCTCCTCTATGACAGATGGTGATACTCCAACCCGATTACGTAAATCTTTAAGTGATAGCTGGTCCTTTGATGTAACTCTGGGCCTTTCAGTCAGTCCCTATTAAAAGTTTTAAGAACTGTCTTAACAATCATCATTTTCTACAAACAAGTGGCATTGACCTCAAAAATGTATACCTGAACCCTATGCGCAACACATCATCATTATGTCTCACAAACGTATGCATAGTGTTTTTAAATCCATATATCAATGACAAAATTGTTTACAGGACAAGAACAGTCATACAATTTTTATGAGAAAAATCATTCAAGTCAGAGTGTGACCTTGACCTTTGAGCATCCGTCCTAGATTCTTGCATATGACAGGTTGCCAAAATATGCTTCACATTTATACAAAATTATCGTACATTCCATCCATAAATGACAAAATTATGGCCACAAAGTTAGGATTGACAGAAGTACATACCCATTATAAAAAATCTATGTAATAAAAGTGAGCCCAAGGGCGGGCCATTTTTTGACCAAAGGAGCTTGACTTGTGTAACTTTAGTAGTTATATTAGGCAATGCTACATGCCAAGCACCTACAATTTCACAAACGAAGATTTACATCATTTTCCTATTTTTCAATCAATATGTATGAACTTGGTGGACATAATGTGAACCTTCATGTAAAATATCTAAACTCTTAGCATTGTACTTTCAGAGAAGAACATTTTAAAGGCAGTTTTACAATACTAGAAATTGACACAAAAGCATACCCCCCCCCCCCCCACATGCGTTTGTCAGAAAAGATGCTTTGTTGTTAATTATTTGGCACACACACAGAATGCAGAAGTTAAAAGATTTTTTTCAAATGTTTTTGAATTATTTGTCTTACATCAAAAAGATAAATTAAAGATTGGATTTAAAGTTTTCATGACTTCTTTAAAGGGCAATACATTCTTTCTCTACTCAGTGAGATCTCCACACATATATCTACCTACATACGTTCATGTTGATACCTTTCATAGTTCTTAAGTTATGTTCTGGACAAAGTTCAAAGTTTAACTAGAAATGTGTCCATAGGACACGGGTGCCCCTACCGCGCCACTGTTAAATCCACAAGCAAACCCAAAGGTGCATAAGTACACATGCTGACCAACATTCTTGTAAACTTTCAGGCCTACAAGTGAAATACTTTTTGAGCTATGCATGAATAAGTTGAAAATTGCAAATTTATACTACTGTAAGTCAAGGGCAATAAATCTAACAAAACTGAGAAAAATCCGCATGTTAAGTCCCAGGTGCATAGCTTCACAGTGATGTGAATGTTGATCATTATTCCTGTAAAGTTGCTTGATTCTATCTCAAGCATTCAAAGAACAAATAACAACATCATGAAACGGTTTTTACTAAGTCAAGGGAAATAACTCTACAAGTACTGAATAAATACACAAGCAAATCCCTAGGTGCAAAACAAAATGTGCTGATCAATTTTCCTGTAAAGTTTCATGACTCTATGTCAAATCCTCTTTGAGTTACATGCAACACAAGTTGAAAATTGCAAAATTTTACATAGTCAAGGGCAATAACTCTAAAAATACTATAAATATCCAGACAAAAATACCCAGGTGCACAACTACACATGCTGATCAACATTCTTGTAAAGTTTCATGGGCAAATACTTTTTAAGTTACATGCGACACAAAAGTAAACGGACGGACGGACGGAAGGACGGACAAGGGTAAATCTAAATCCCCCCCCCTCTATAGTGGGGGCACAAAAATGAACAAAAGGCATTATCTCCAAAATGAGAGTAGGAGAGTTATGGTTCTCCTGTATTGCACTACTGCATTTTAAGATCTGTCTACCAACAAAGTTTCTTGTAAATAATCCTTGTGGTTTTACAGTCATTTCCCAAACAAAGTTCAGTGTAAAAAAGGGTAATAACTCTGAAACAAGAGGGCCATGATGGCCCTGAATCGCTCACCAGAAACAACTGTTTTTAAGTGATTATAGAATTATTTTTTCAAATAAACTTGTAGAAAGACAAGTCCAGGTCAACTTCAACTTCCCTCTCTAGATATAAGGTTTCCCGACACTGATTGTTTTTTTCGTTATAGTAAAAATGATAGGAACCAAGTTTGGTGATCATCCATCCATTAATTTGTGATAAAAATTTGACTATGACTGTTTTTTTCAAAATTGCGATCTTTCTTCTTTTTTCTAATTATCTAAAAAATTAGATTTTTATATAATCTCAGTATTTAGATATACATGTATACTGTTTGTCAGGATGACACCATCGGTCAATATTTATTTAAGATAACATAGGTATACTAGTCAACTTGACCAGAAAGATAATTTTGTTGTTTTTTTTACGCCTTTCCCAACAGTATTTCAGTCATATAGGCGACCAGAAAGATAACATTTCAGGTTAATTATGTTAAACACTAATAGAGATGTGAAAAATTGTATCTTTAACTATATAGAGGAAAAAGGCAAAAGGTTGTTTTGATGAAATGTATTCAGTGAACATGAAAACAACTTTCCATACATTGTATGAAACAGTGCAAAATTACTTTCAACAAGTGATAACCAAGCTTGCAAAATGTGATTCTGAATAGAAATAATTAAAAATGATACTAAAATAGCACAAAGAATAAACAAGAGCCAACACCAGGTGGGTGCAACGCTTGACTTTTTACTTTTTCTTAAAGCAAACAAAGAAATGTTTCAACAAATCTAAACGTTTCCTTTCTATAAATTTAATCGGTATGTCTTGTCACATTAGTTTTGTCTGTATATCTTGAATATCTAAATATATATAAATGCTTATGGTGGTGGTGGTCCGAATGGTAGCGGTGGTGATCCGCATGGTAGTGGCTGTCCGCATGGTGATGGTAGTCATCATGTTGGCAATGGTCCGCATGTTGGCGGTGGTCTACATGGTAGCAATGGTGATCCGCATGGTGTTGATGGACCGCATGGTGATGGCAGTCCGCATGTTGACGTGGGCTACATGGTGTGGTGGTGGTTCGCATGGTGGTGGTGGTCCGCATGGTCGTGGTGGTCTGCATGATGGCGTTTGTCCAGCATGGTGTTGGCAATGGTCCGCATGTTGGTGGCGGTCTGCATATTGGTGATGGTTTGCATGGTGGTGATGGTCAGCATGACAGTGGTCTGCATGTTGGTGACGGTCCGCATGTAGGTGGTGGTCCGCATGTTGGTGGCAGTTCGCATGTTGGCGATAGTTCGCATGTTGGCGGTGATCCAGCATGTTGATGACAGTCCACATGTTGGTGGCGGTCCGCATGTTGATGATGGTCCGCATGATGGTAGCGATCCGCATGGTGGTGAGCATCCGCATGGTGGTGGCGGTCCACATGGTGGTGGTGGTCCGCATGGTGTTGACGGTCCGCACAGTGATGGCAGTCCACATGGTGGTTGCGGTCCGCATGGTGGTGGTGATATGCATGTTGGTGGTGGTCAGCACAATGGTGGTGGACCACATGTTAGTGGTCAACATGGTAGCGTTGGTCTGCACAGTGGTGGTCCGCATGGTGGAGGTGATCCTAATGGTGGTGGTGGTCGGCATAGTGGAGGTGGTCCGCACAGTGGTGGTCCATCTAGAGGTGCTGGCCCGCATGGTGGTGATGGTCCACATGGTAGTGGTCCAAAATTGACCTTGAAGGTCAAGGTCATTTATGGATGAAAGTCAAGGCAGGCTGTCCAGCGTCCCTAAAATTCCTTAAAAAATGAAAAATTCAAAGGGAATTCCTAAAAAAACCCTATTTTTTCACTTAAATTCCTATTTTTTTATCTTTTGTGATAAACATATCGCGAAACAACCATGTTTTAATCACAACTTAAATTCTAACACAGTCAGTGGAGCTGATGCCATGTCTGACTAAATTGCATAAAGTCACATGTTGTATTTACTTCAACTCCTGCAGAAATGCCATACATGATTAATTACCAGATGTTATCAGAAAAATAATAAGAAACTGTTTGTTTTAAATGGAACAATGAAAATTGTCCGACTTTGACTATATCAAAATAGTCACTTGTTAAAAATTGTGATAAAAAAATTTCCAAGGAAGTTACATTTTTATTGGCTATAGAGTTTTACCATTTACCTCAGTCTTAGGTGTATTTAAAGCAACTATTTATATGATGAACCACTAAATTTTATCAAACATTATGAAGGGGTCCTTATTAATAAAATCTTAATTTGTAATCAAGTTATTTTCAAGTGATGACTGTAGAACAGATCTTTTGTAAGTGATACCAGCTGGCAGATCTAGACAAGTTTTCCATTGCTAATTATAAAGTGGGAAAGGTAAACTGGCAGTAGTGATTGTATGCTTTAACCATTTTGCTACCCAATTAGGGTACTAAGAAGTGACACCTTCAGCTGCCCTTTTTGTACACATTAACATGTACTGAACATATGTTATAACATATAGTGTAAGTTTTTTAAAATCTGGAAAAAAAACTGTTGAAAATCATTGAAAAAACTGACACTGTTGTGAAATTTCTACAATTTTTAGTAGCCTGATTTATCTTGAACAAATTCTTCATAGGTGTATACCCTGCTGTTTGAATTTAAGTTTTAATATTCCTGGGAATGACTTGAGTGGGTCATATTGTTTTTATTGTTTTTTAAGAAAGATCAAGACTTGTTGAAAATGTACCAACCTTAAAATGAATAAATGTTGATAATAAATGCATTTATAGCTAAAATAAATCTAAAGCATAATTTCCCCTTCCATTTATTATTGGCTAATCATAGCTTAACTTATTGAATATTGGTTGTTTCAGGATACTTATAACTTTGAAAATGTTTTCATTCTAGTTATGTTTTAAATGTACCAACCTTAAAATGAATAAATGTTGATAATAAATGCATTTATAGCTAAAATAAATCTAAAGCATAATTTCCCCTTCCATTTATTATTGGCTAATCATAGCTTAACTTATTGAATATTGGTTGTTTCAGGATACTTATAACTTTGAAAATGTTTTCATTCTAGTTATGTTTTAATGAAGGTTTTTAGCTCTGTTTAAAGGCAGTTGACCAGTGAATCCATTTCTTCACTGGTGACTATGGAACACTGGTAATGCATTATTTATGCTTTGTGTCAAATATTCAAAGTTGAGCTCATATCATGGTCTTTTTAAGCCATAATTTAGTTATGAAATTCCAAATTTTAGCCCTAAAATTTCTTTTATTTACCCTAAAATTCCTAATTTTAGCCCTAATTTTTTTTAAAAATTGCCCTAAAATTTGCCCTAATTTTTTGTCAGAAGGTGCTGGACAGCCTGTCAAGGTTAGTGTGATCTACTGAAAGGTCTTGTCCCAAGGGTTGATGTGGCCAATAATTAAGACAATACACCAAGAATTAAAAAATTTATGACCCAGGTACAAGTTTGTGGACTGCAACAGCTATGGTAACGGCAACGCCGCCACAACTTTAACAATAGCTCTTGTTTTTTTTTCAAAAAAAGTCGAGCTTAAAATGACAAAATAACATAGCAGGTTATACTCTTAAGTTTTGTTCCTGCATGTAAATGCTAAGTTATAAAAGATTAGTATTAGTATAAGTATCTTAGTATTTCTCTATTGAGAAATTATTTGAATATTACCAGATGAAAGAAAAAAGAAGAAAAAAATCTGAAGTCAGAGAAAGTGGTTCAATTGCAGGTCAATCGATCAGGCTATTCTATATATTATTATTATAGTCTCATATAAATATATTACAACAGATACTTAAATGAGTCTCAGGGAAAAACAATCATCTATCTATTAGACAGTGACAATATCCCATGCACATATGAAACATGAGGTTCAACAGTGTGTCCCAATATTTATTGAAATGTGCTTTCTCCACCAGAAACAAATGAAACATTTGTTAGGCCTTGAGGAAAATTCTCAAGATTGACCTACAAATGAACCTTATAATTATGCAATTGCTGTCTGAATTCTAGGGCACAAACAGATACAAAGCACATTGACCTCAGATCTCTGTAAAGACATTAAGACATTCAATCTTTTTATGTATAACATGTATATTCCAGACATGGGGTAATCGTAATCGATAATTTAATTCAATTTAATCGATTACAATTTTTTGAGTAATCACAGTAATCAGTAATCATAATTGTTTTCATGTAATTTAATCATAATTTAATCAATTACATGACCAATTAATCAGTAATCACAATAATTACATGTATGATTACAATACATGTTAAGCTAAAAAAAAAATGCTGAACAAACATACACATAAAGATTAAAAAAAGTACCAGTGTCAATGCCTTCTAATTGTCTTAGGTAGTGTAGGTGAATTAAATGCAGTCACCCAGGTCAGATTTGATGACACCTGTGTTTTAATAAGGTGATGAAAAGACAACTGACATATTGACCCAATACATAAAAGATTGTCACAATTATACCTCTTAAATTTAGCCGTGAAATTATAACAATGGCCTGGATAGGTATATTATCACTTATTGAGAAGACTTTATAGGTTCAGTAAAGAGCTGGTATAAGCTGAAATTACTGACAAAAGTAAGATATGGTTATATTTTCTGTTATATTTTCTGTTACATTTTGGTATTGTTAAGTCCATGTAGAAGCAAAAAGTATAAACAGATTTTCATCATATCGAAAAGAAAGCAGTACACAAGCATGGCGGGAAATATGCCTGCTGTTTTTAAACACATGTACATATGTAGACTGAATTAATTACTGTAAAATTAAGCTGGATTATTTTTTGTACATTTGTTGTATTGAAATGTTCAATAAAACGATAGTGTTGAACCATTGCATTTCCTAACTTTTGTACATGTAATCAGTAATCATAAATGTAATCTGATTACTCCTGTCGATAATCAGTAATCAGTAATTTAATTTAATCAAGCATTTTGACAAATAATCATAATTTAATCGATTACAATTATCAAGTAATCGCCCCATGTCTGGTATATACATGTGAACATTTTTTCAAGAGGGAGAGTTTACTTCAAAAAGAAGGAGATTTTTTAATTAACAGGAACCAAATAAAGCTTGACACTAAGTCCTTATATATCTTGTATAATGTACTTAAGTTATTTCATAAGAGGTCATGACCTCCAATAATTTCATCAGCAAACAGCAGGTCATTCACATGTATGAAAGAAATTCCAACAGGAATTGTTTCCCTTTCATTAAACTATAATTTGAAAACGTGCCATGGTCTGGGGTATCTTAGCTTTAGCAATCCCTTAAAGGGGCCAATCAAATGAATATGAGCAATTTTCATAAAAGATTACTATAAGAATTCTAATAACAAAGTTTGGTGATCATCCTTCAATAAATTCTGTAGAAAAGGTTGTCTAAAGGTTTATATTGTTTTTAGCTCCCTTGACCCCTAAAAGGGGCCTATCAAATTAATATGAGCAAATTTGATAAAAAACTACCTAAGAATGCTACAGAAAAAGTTTTGTGATCATCCATCAATTGGTTCTGTAGAAGAAGATGCCTACATGATTTTCTACTTTCAGGTGTGGAAACCCCTAAAAGCGGCCAATCAAATTAATATGAGCAACTTTGATAAAAGACTACCTAAGAATGCTACAGACAAAGTTTGGTGATCATCCATCCATGAGTTATCTAGATATAGATGTTTAAAGTAATTTCTATTTTTAGCTTCAGCAGCCCCTAAAAGGGGCCAATCAAATTAATATGAGCAAACTTGATAAAAGACTACCTAAGAATGATAGAGACAAAGTTTGGTGATCATCCATCCATTAGTTCTGTAGAAGAAGATGTCTAAAGGGTTTTACTGTTTTTGGCTCTATTGACCCCTAAAAGGAGCCAATTGCAAATGACATGAGCAAATTCAAGTGTGACTGTCAAAAGGATGCTACAGACAAAATTTGAAGTAAATTTGTCCAGCGATTTCAGAGAAGAAGACGATTGTTGACGCATGACGACGGACGACGGACGACGGAGTATCCCCATTTGATACTTATAGCTCACCCTGAGCCTTCGGCTCTGGTGAGCTAAAAAGGGAAGACAGGTTTTTTCAATGCAATTCTATTCAATGACATCTATCTACCTACAAAGTTTCTTGTAAATACCCCTTTTGGTTTTAGAGTTATGTTCCTGTGAAAGCTCGAAATGTAAAAATAAATAAAGGGCAATATCTCCAACATTAAGGTTCTTTTGAACTACACATCAATTCTTTGAGATCTATATACCTACAATTTTTTTAAGTTGATACCTTTCATAGATTTCAAGTTATGTCCCGGACATTTTAAATGTGTAAACATGAACAAAGGTCAATAACTCCAAGTAAGGGAAGGCAGAGTTATGGTTTGTTTGTAGTGCACTTCTACTGAATGAGATTGATCTACCTACAAATTTCAAGTCAATACCCCTTCTGGTTAAAGTTATGTCCCGGACAAAGTTCAAAGTGTAAACATAAAGGGCAATAATTCCAAAATTAGTTAAGGCAGAGTTATAGAGCATGATTTTATCTGATTCTTCATTGTAAGTTTCTAAGCTCTTGGCATTGTACATTCAGAGAAGAACATTGTTAGGATTATTTAATATCATTTCTACGTAAACTATGTGACCCATTTTTGACCCAACAGACATTTTTTACAAAATTATTTTAGAGGACCTTTAGGTGATGCTACATCCAACTACCTTAGGTCTGGGAATTGTAGATTTTGAGATGTTTTTTTAAGATTTCATTTTTAAGGTCTATTTAACCTTCTGTGATACATTTGAGTGGGATATTTTATATAATTTTTAAAGAGGATTTCCTAAGGTTCATCCCTATTAAATTTGGTCAAACTCAGTCGGTGGTTTAGAAAGAGATTTGTTTTGCAACAGCTGAAAGACACACTGCCATCACAAAAGCTCATATCTGAGCAATTTGTGCACAGGTGAGCCTAAATCACATAGTTATTTCCATATTTTAATTTTAAAATTTGCTTAAGCTGGTGTTAAGGTGCATTAACCATTGTCATCCACAAATTAGCTCAAATTATATCAATTATGCAATTTAGTTGTTTGGATAACTATTAGTATTTTCATATTTCTGTGTTTTGAATTTGTTTACACATTACACACAAAAAGGAAACTACCTATTTAGTAACAGTTGTAATTTATCAATTTTCAAAAACTATTATTTAAAAACACCTACAGTTTTCTTTTGGTCAAAATTAGCCAAGTTCTGAGAAGGATGTAGAAACACATTTTGTAAACTGTCCATTTGTGTTGTCATCAGGTTATTGCAAAACATCCAACATTCCTGAAAACACAAAAGTTATTGTCTAAATTAAGAGTCATTTGCATACATGTAAGACATCAAAAATGCAAAGATAAAAATGAATGATATGCTGTAACAAGCCATTTTTAATAAATGTGTCAGCGCAAATAATCTCTGCGCAATGTAATTACTGAGGAAATGATCTTCGAATCCTGTTTCCAATACATTACTTTTATAATGTTTTCCAAACTTAAGTCATGGAAGCACAGGCCCCCCATTCGTCCCCCCCCGGCCATGAATAAAATTTTTGGACTAAAAAAACAAGATATGTTTTAAAAAAAATTTTCTAACCTCGGGCAACAAGGGAGATAAGAATTCTAATTTTTATATTTTTTAAAGTAAATGAAGCGTAAAAGCCTTTTAGAAAAGTGAAACAACTTTTACTCTATTTTGTTTTATGATTGTGACTAAAAACAAGAGCTGTCAGCAGGACAGCACCCTCGACTATTCTTAGTGCTTGATAGTAAAAGAGCCTTGATAATGTAAATTAATAATTTTCTATGTTCAAAAAGGCGCCATTTTATTCTTTTAAATCCATGTAACAGTTATAGACCTTGGAGAGACTCCTATTATGCTCTCAAAGAAGTGTATAAAATTTCAACTTATTATTGAGGTGGAGTAAATTCTAAGTCAAAAGGGGCATAATTCTGTCAAAATGCTTGATAGAGTTACCACCTCCTGTCTACAGGTTGAGGTCATAATGGTTAATAAATGTGCAAAGTAACAAAGCCATGTGTCTATGAACTTTGAAAAAATATGAGGTGGTACGTAAAGTTTATCGTAAATTCTTAGTAGTAAAAGGGGCTTAATTCTGTCAAAATGCTTGATATAAATACCTCCTCCTTTCTACAGGTTGTAGTCATGATGGTGAACAAGTGTGCAAAGTCTTAAAGCCATAAGTCAATGGAGTTTCAAAATATTTGAGGTGTTACAAAACTTTATCAAAGTGTTACAACACCCAACACTGCCCCCGAGCTCAGGGTACTGGGAAAGCACTCATTTTTGTCAAATAGTCAGGTTTTTAAACAGAACTATCATTTATGTTTTTATACTGACAATATTGTTTTCAGAAATAGGTGTTACTATAACAAATATTTGTAAAAGAACTGAAATTAATTATGGTTGGGCTTTTTAAGATATTTTGTAGTTTTATTGTTGCTTTTCCCTTCAATGGGGTTGGGCCCTTTGATAAATTTTTAAATTTGAATTTACTCTTTAAGTCCAAAAAATACAAAGAAAAGAAAAAAGGGCAATAACTCTAAAATATGAAGAAAAATTTAGTTTTGGCACTGCACTTCCCAATTGTTTGGGCCTTTGTAAAATTTGTTTTAAATTTCCCCAACCAACTTTTTAAGTTATCCCCGACAAAAAAAATTTAAAGGCAGTAACTAAAATTTTGTCAAAATGGATTTATGCTCTTGTCACGCACTTCCTTTTAATGTCCTTGAAAACGATGAATTGTATTATTCCCAAAAGTTTCAAGTTACTCTGGAAAAAAAAAATAAAAGGGGAAAACCTGTAATTAGCAAAGTAGTTAGGCCCTGTCCCAGCATTTCCCCCAATGGCTAACCTTTGTATGAAGTTTATATTGAATCCAAACCCATTTTCTCAAGTTAGGGTCGGAAAAAAAGGGGCAAGGGAAAAGGGTAACAAAGTGCAATAACTTGTAATTATTTTTAGATAATTTTAAATGGTTTTTGTCCTGCACTACCCTTTTTGGGTTTTTTACAATTGATGAAATTTTTTTGAATTCCAACCAGTAGTTTTTAAGTTATTCCCCGGGACAAGGAAAAGTAACAAAGGGCAATAACTCTGTAATTAGTCAAGATAGAGTTATGGTTCTTGTGCACTGCACTTCCTCTCAATGTGCTTGACCATTGTATGTAGTTATATTGAATTCCAACCATTAGTCTTCAAGTTATGCTCTGGACAAGGAAAATGCAACGGACGTCTGGACCGACAGACCGACCGACCGACCACTGCGTGACTCCTATATACCGCCCCCCCCCCCCAAATTTCGTTTTTGGGGGTATAAAAAGAGACATTCTATATCATTAACAAGAGCAACACATGTAGTGTTGACACTCTTCTTTTAAAGATTGTAAGTTAAGAAGGGACATTACTCCACAAATATTGATTTAAGAATTAAGGCCCTTTATGTATAAAACCTGCACATTGTCATGATAAGCAAGTAGTTGATGATATCTTTTGAAAATTTTTAATAATTAGTCACATTCAAGTTTTTGAATGACAATAACAATTATGATGATGACAATGACAATGAGCAGCAATCTTTGAAGGAGAAAAGCTAAAATGATTTTATGAATAATGCGATAAACCAAAGTATACCAACTATTGTTGTTTAGAACAATTCTTGCTTTGATGAAACAATTAGAACAGCATTTTATAGAACAATGGTTATACAAATAGTATTATACATTACTTGAAGAAGGCGTATTAGAACATGTATGGCCTCTTTTAATGGTAAGCCTGGCTTCTTATAAGTCAAACTTTCAAAGGCATTAGTCCATTCATCATCATATATCTGGCCAAACTTCTCTGACAGTTTCATTGCTCTGTATGGATCACTGAGGTCTGGTATATCAGCATTCTGCTCCTGTAATTTCTTACCAGCTAGCTTACTTAACCTGAGTACAAAAAGAACAAGAATGACATAATGGCCCTGAGTCGCTCACCAGTGTTAACCTGCCCCTCTAGTTATATACTTTAACAACATTTGACTGTTTTTGTCTTTTTCCTTCATAATAAACAATAGGACCACGATGGCCTTTGATCTCTCATTTGACCCATCGTTTCATTTTATATCGGCATGACTTATTATTTATTTCATACAAGCATATTGAAAGTATATTTTTTTTAAAATTCAAACAATAATTTTTGCATCAGATATATAGCTTTCCACAACAAGATGCATTTGTGAAACAAGAGGGCCCAGAGGGCCCTGGCTCGCTCAAAAGGTCAAACTGCAGCCCGTTTCACCCCAGAAGCACAATTGGAAATCACGGGACAGTTTAATCTGAACAATTTTGTGTACTGTCACCAAAGAAATATTTGTGTAAATTTGTGTAAATTTTGTCAAAACTGAACCAGCAGTTTAGATGTTGTTTAGATGTTGTTGTTTTTTAATTTTAACTATGGTCGCCATTTTATTAAACAGTTCAGACTGTGACTAAGTGAGAGGTGAGCTAATAAAAAGATGACAGAAAAAGAGAAGGAAAACAAACATTGACCTGGCTAGGGATTTAACAGTGGACTTCGATTCCCTCGGGCCAATTTAATATTGAACATGATGGAATACACTAGAACATGTTTCATGCTAAATATCTAAGCTCTATCTCTTTTGGATTTTCATAAGAAGATCTATGTACATGTATTTATATAATGAAAATCAATGACCCCCTGGGGCGGTGCCAATTTTGACCCCAGGGCTTCATTTGTACAAACTTGGTAGACATCCACAAGAAGATGTTTGATGCCAAGTATCTTATCTTATAGTGGTTTTGGATTGTCAGGAGAAGATCTTTAATGTTTTTACTAAATACATATCAGGAAAATCAACGATCCCCTGGGGTGGGGTCAATTTTTACCCTGGGGATTTCATTTGGACAAACTTGGTAGGCATCTACTAGAACATGTTTTATGCCAAATATCTAAGCTCTACCATTTTTGGATTTACACCAGAAGATTTTTAAAAAAATTTACAATATACATATAAAGAAAATCAATGGCCCCTGGGGCGGGGCCAATTTTAATCCTAGGGCTTTTATTTGAACAAACTTTGTAGACATCCGCTAGAAGATGTTTAATGCCAAATATCTAAGCTCTACCTCTGTTGGATTTTCAGTTTTCAGAAGAGATTCTTATTAGTTTTTACTATATACATATGAGGAATGACAATGACCCCTGGGGCGGGGTCAATTTTGACTCTAGGGCATTTATATGAAAAAACTTGTTAGACATACACTAGAAGATGTTTGATGCAAAATGTCTTAGCTCTACCTCTTTTGTATTTTCACAAGAAAATTTTTTAAAGTTTTAACTATATACATATAAGGAAAATCAATGACCCCCCTTTGAAAATCAATGGGGCAGGGCCAATTTTCACCCTAGGGCTTTAATTTGAACAAACTTGGTAGATATCCACTAGAAGATGTTTCGTGCAAAATATCTCCGCTCTAGCTCTTTTGGGGTTTTTTAAAGATTTTTGTAAAAAAATATTTTGGTTGCCATTGGCACCCGATTATTTAATTGAAAATTTTAAAATTTTTTGAAAAAGACTTTTGGGGGATTTTATCAGGAACACTCGCACAAAGCTTTTAAAACATATACCCAATTTTTTGGGTTTTTTGAGGAAAAGTTGTTTTAAAAAATTTTTATTGCAAGGGGGCACAGGGCAGAAAAAAGGGACGACAGCAAATGGGCTATACAAAAGGGTCACCTTGAAGGAAAAATTTTCCTCCCGGTGACTTTAAAATGCTAGACACAAAAAATAGTACCAAGGGAAAAATTTTTTCCAAAAAAATGCCCGGGGTTTGTGAGTTTTTGGGTTTGGAGGGATTATTTTTGGGATGTCAAACGAAAGGGAAAAAATTTGCAATATGTTTACTGTTTTAGGGTTAAAAATACATAGTTTTTAATTGGGAAAATTATTTTTACTTCAAAAAATCAAACATTAACTGTATCATTAGCAAAGTTTTCATTAATTTCAATGAATGGTTTTTATCTTTTCTGAAAACATTTTTTTTAATTTTTAAAAACATCATTTATTAAAGTTTTTAAATGTTAAAAGGGTTGTTTATCTTAAACCCTTATAATGGCTTAAAATTATTTATAAAAAGCAATTTTCCCGCCAGAATATACCTTTTAAAAAGGTTTATTAAATCCCAGCTATTGAATGGCCAAAAACATGTTTTTACATGTATGAAAAATTATTTTTCCCCAAAAATAGTTGTTTTCCCCTTTTATTTAAATAACAAAATTAAAAAATGCCCCTTGCCTGGGGCATTTAGCTTTAGCGGCCACTAAAAGGTACCAATCAAATTAATACTAGAACTATCACTAAATGTGATTTATACCCCCGCAAGACTGCTTCGGAAATGAGGATGTTACTGGTAACAGAATACCTTGTAAAACAATTGAAATAAAGATAGTTGTAGTTCTTATATGTTGCATTTCCTTTCAATGTGGTTGGCCATTGATGAAGTTTGATTGAATTACTCTTTAATAAGTCCAGAAAGACAAGAAAAAGGAACAAAGGGCAATAACTCTATAAATACGGAAAATGGAGTTATGGTTATTGTACACTGCACTTCCTCTCATTGCACTTGACCATTGTATGAAGTTGTATTGAATTCCAACTACAAGTTTTCAAGTTATGCACAGGACAAAAAAGTAACAAAGGGCAATAACTGTAATTAGTCCAATTAGAGTTATGGTTCTTGTGCACTGCACTTCATCTCACTGCCCTTGACCATTGTAAAGTTTCATTAAATTCCAACCATTAATTTTCAAGTTATGCACTGGACAATTAAAAGTAAGAAAGGGCAAAAACTTTTAAATGAATCCAGAAAGATTAATGATTTCTGTACACTGTGCTTCCTCTCAATTTACTTGACCATTAACTCTATAAATAAGGAAAATGGAGTTATGGTTATTGTACACTGCACTTCCTCTCATTGCACTTGACCATTGTAAGAAATAGTATTGAATTCCACCTAGTGGTTTTCAAGTTATGCTCTGGACAAGAAAAAAGCAATGCTTGATCATTGTATGAGCTTTTTCTAAATTCCAACCAGTAAATGTCTGTAAATAAAGGCTTTATAAGCAAATGTGTTGAAATCTGTTTTGGCACCCTTTATTTTGACCCATTGGATCTTACTCTATCAAAAGGAAGACAACCATGCAAGATATATGCATATCCTACCAGAAATGACAGACATCAGTCCATAAAAAAGCTAAATGGGCAAAAGTGTAAAAAAAACAATTTTTAGCACACGTGACTTTGATTCAACAGACCCTTAACTCAATGCAAAGGAAAAACACCATTTTAAAATATGAAAACATCAGACAACAAGAGGGCCATGATGGCCCTGAGGTTACTCACCTGTATAAAGGCCCCCGGAGCGGGGCCAGTTTAAACCCCAGGGCTTTTATTTGAACAAACTTGAAAGACACTCATTAGGAGATGTTTCACGATGTTAAGTTTGTTAAGTTTTTACTACACACATAAAATTAAAAACAATGATCTCCCCCCTCCCCTCCAGCAGGGCAAATTTTCACCCGAGGGCTTTTATTTGAACGAACCTAGTTGACACCCATAAGAAAATGTTTCATGCTAAACATCTAAACTCTAGCTCATTGGGTTTTCTAAAACAAGATTTTTTTAAGTTTTTACTATACACATTTAGTTAAAAACAATGACACCCCTGGGGCGGGGCCAATTTTGACCCCGGGGCTTTTATTTGAACAAACTTTGTCGACACTTCTTAGAAGATGTTTCATGCTTAATATCTAAACTCTAGCTATTTGGTTTTTTTTCAAAGAAGATTTTTAAGTTTTTACTATATGCATATAGGGAAAATTAATGACCCCCTGGGGTGGGGCCAATTTTGACCCCAGGGCTTTTATTTAAACAAACTTGGTAAACATTCATTAGAACATGTTTCATGCTTAATATCTAAACTCTAGCTATTTGGGTTTTTTCGAAGAAGATTTTTTAAGTTTTTGCTATACACATAAAAGAAAAATCAATGACCCCCGGGGCGGGGCCAATTTTGACCCCAGGGCTTTTATTTGAACAAACTTGGTAGACACCTTTTAGAACATGTTTCATGCTAAATATCTTAGCTCTAGCTCTTTTGGTTCTTTAAAAGAAGATATTTTAAGTTTTTACTATATGCATATAGGAAAAATCAATGACCCCCTGGGGCGGGCCAATTTTGACCCCAGGGATTTTATTTGAACAAACTTGGTAAACACTTACTTTAAGATGTTTCATGCCAAATATCTAAGCTCTAGCTCTAAGGGTTTTTTTAAAAGAAGATTTTTTTTTCTTTCGGTTGCCATGGCAAACAGAGTTCTGCATGGAATTAAATTCTTTGAACAATCTTTAAAGTTGACCACCAAAGGAACATTCCTGTGAAGTTTGGATGAAATTGGCTTTGTGGTTTATGAGGAGATGTCATTTAAAGTAAAAATTTACGGACGGACGGAGTACAGACGGGCGCCGGATAAAAAGCGATCACAAAAGCTCACCCTGTCACTTTGTGACAGGTGAGCTAAAAAATAAAGTCGGTTTAAGCAAAGTTGCAATGAAATCTATTATTGGAACCACTGACCCATTAAAAGAGAGACTTCTATGCAAGTTATCTTCGTTCCAAATATGAAAGACATCCGTCAATACCTAAAGGCTATATGGGTAAAAGTGTAAAAATCTATTTTAGCACTGGTCACCTTGAGCCAACTGACCTCTCAAAGGAAGAAAATTTCTCAATTTTACGTTCCCATCAAATATAAGACATCAGTCAATAGAATAAGGATACACCTGTAAAATGTATAAAAGTTTATCTTTGATACAAGTGACCTTCAACTGAACCAAAAGAAAGAGGACCTCCTACGCCTGTCCGTATTAAACATGAACTACAACAATTCAAAAATACAGAGTGTTAAAAATTATTTCATTTTTTTTTTACCCAAATGAACTTGACCTAAGTGACCCTTACTCCACAAAAAGTTAGAGGGCCATGATGGCCCCTTCCTCCACTGTTACAGAAGGAACTCTTTTGCTCTTTTTTGTTATGTTTACAATTAGATAGCCCCCAATCCTTATTCTGTAGTGCAGATGGTTAAATTAATATATGCCCAGGGCATAAAAATTATTAAAGTGCCATAACTCTGACAAAACATCATTTAATTGGAAAATGTTGATGATATGTGCAACTGGACTTGGTGCTGACCATTCCTGTAAAGTTTGGATTAAATTACATATAAGTTTTTGAAGAGAAGTCAATACAAATTTTAAGATTGGTGGACAAAGATGTTCACAACCTAGTACTAATTATTCATGTAAAGTTTGGATAAAAGTGCTCGAATAGTTTTTGAGAAGAAGTCTGACAAATTCTGTTAATGACTGTATGACATACATCTGAGAGATGGTATCTATATGTAGCAACTACTCTGTAGAAGGCAACACAAAGAGTGACAATTAAGGCATATAGTTTATATAGTACATTTGTATTTATTAAATTGTTGGTATATGTAACTTTTGTAAAGGACCACAAGTTTTGCTACACAAGAATTACTGAAGCTCTGAGCATTGTAGTATTATGGAACAGATGACTTTAAAATATTAAATATTTTCAAATTTTTGACTTAGTTGATGAAATGACTAAAAACAAGTCATACACCTTTTGTTCATGTAGATTGTTCCTTTAGAACTCTTCCTGTAGTTTGGTCACAATTAACCATGCAGTTTAGGTGGGTTTTTTTTAAAAGTAACTATGGGTAACAACAGGCAAAAACAACAGACATTATAGTGCCATTATTAAAGCTCATCTGAGTTACAATTTTAAAATTGAAAGGTTGGCAGGTGTTTCCATTTCAGCATTTCAATGTCATAATATATTGTAAACTCATTATTGTGATTAAATGTTTTGTTTGAACTTCTATGGCAGAGAAAGCGATTCATATTGTAAGCATGTTTTTTTTATTTTCTTAAAATTTCATAGGATGTTACGGACATAAAGCAGATATAACATAAGTGTTTAAGGTTGTAACAGACAAATTTCACTTTAAATATTTCATGTAGGCAAGGTATCCACCTGAAGGTTGGTGTTCCCAAACAAGGGTCTTCTCAAGTGACCATATGACAAAATTAAATTGTGCTTTTAAACAAGGAAGTAAATCTTCATTTAAAATGCTTGATGGAATTTTCAGTGTTCAAAGTCTATTAAGTGTTAGAAAAATTTCCATATAAAAAATAAAGACTGTTTGAAAAGAAGAAAAAACATTTATCATTGACGCGCCTATAGTATAACGTGAACAATGTTTGTATAACACAAAAAATGCACGACCATACAATACCATTTTAAGGAGTCACAAAGGCAGCACTTATATGAGATAAAGTCCTATATTTTGAATGGCTTCAAATGGCACTAACTTACCGGTCTCTTAAATCATCTCGTTCAGCTAAAAGTTTTTTGTACTCATCATCAGATTTCCTCTTCTCGTCTTTCAAATAACCTTCCATGTTCTTTGCATATTGTTCAACCTGTTTCTTTTCCTTTGCAAGGGTCCTATATACACTATCTAATTCTTTTAGATTAGCTTTTAGCTGCTGATTCTCAGTATAATTATCATTTTCTTTTTTCTCAAGCCCCATAGCTATTTTCTTCTTTTCCTTTAGATCTCTTTCAACATTTGTTCTTTTCATAATCTCCTCTTTAAATCTGTAAATATTAAATCAAATACAAAACTAGTGTATTTAATGTCAACATACATTTCCAGGAATAGAAAGAAACAGCTTTAATTCATTGGTCATCTGGTCAACCTTACACAATATAAGTATACAAAAAGTATCAATATTATATTGCCATTTGTAGAATTGATATCAGTCATATGATAAAATTCATTTGGTAAACCCTGCTGTTTTACATAAATCTCCCTTTGTGAGGGTATATTAGCAAAAACAAGTTAAATTTCTACAAACATGCAAAGCAGTTTTACCTTCTTGATAGTCAACAAATATTTCAAGTTTGAAGTGAAAATCAATGACAGTTTTTTTTTATTAAAATGAAAATATTCTTAGTGGAAAGGAAAACAATTCAGCAACTAGATGCCTAAGGGCAACATGTCAAGCCCACTGTCACATCTGACCTTGAAATATGACCTTGAGCTTTGACCTTGCAAAATGATTTTTTGCATTTGATTCACTGTTTCATGATGTTTAACATTTGTTAATTTTTTAATTCAACCAGCTTATGATAAAGTTAAGGTGTAGACAAGCTGTTGGATACCATTTTTGTACATTATACTTTTAATTATGACGTTGATCTAGTCACACGGTTCTTGCCTATGACAGGTCGTTTCATTTTTGTGATCATTTGTGCCGCGTTATTTGAAATTATGCCATCTCTATGAGTCACGAACCAGACAAACATAATCCGGACGGATGCAGGCACTCACACACATACACTGAATGGCCTTATGACAACTATGTCAAGCTCTTGAAAGCAACCTCGATAAAAAAGGGACTTTCTCGGTTGCCTACTCCTTAGAAATGCATTTCAAATTTGTAAGAGAACAAGTATTTCAAGTCTAAACTCAATATCTGTGATACTTTCAGAAAAGATAAACAAGAAATTCAAATTCAAAAAGGGGGCATAACTGAGAATGTTTTCCTATTAAGTTGCTAAGAACATAATAATGCATTCCAATTCTAATATTTAACAAGTACTTATATTAGATATAATTAACTTTGACATGTTCAATAACTTGGCTAAACAAACAACAATCAACAATCGACATTCAATGTCTAGCTAGACAATCAACATTCAGCTCAACATTCGATCTATAATAATAATAAAACAATGCTCGAAGTGAATGTTGAGCTAGACAATCAACAATCAGCTAGACATTCGAAATTTCTTATGTCGAGCTAGACAATCAACATTCAGCTCAACATTCGATCTTTAATAATTATCAAAGTATCCTTAAAGTGAATGTTGAGCTAGACAATCAACAATCAGCTAGACATTCGATAATTTATCATGTCGAGCTAGACAATCGACATTCAGCTCAACATTCGATCTATAATAAAAATCAAAGAATTTTTAAAGTGAATGTTGAGCTAGACAATCGACAATCAGCTAGACATTCAGAAATTTCTTATGTCGAGCTAGACAATCGACATTCAGCTCAACATTCGATCAATAATAATGATCGAGGTTTTCTTTAAGTGAATGTTGAGCTAGACAATCGACAATCAGCAAGACATTCGATAATTTCTTATGTCGAGCTAGACAATCGACATTCAGCTCAACATTTGGCTTGTAATAATAATCAAAGTATTCTTAAAATGAATGTTTAGCTAGACAATCAACAATCAGCTAGACATTTGATTATTTCTTATGCCGAGCTAGACAATCGACATTCAGCTCAACATCCGATCTATAATAAAAATCAAAGAATTTTCAAAGGGAATGTTGAGCTAGACAATCGACAATCAGCTAGACATTCAGAAATTTCTGATGCCGAGCTAGACAATCAACATTCAGCTCAACATCCGATCTATAATAAAAATCAAAGAATTTTCAAAGGGAATGTTGAGCTAGACAATCGACAATCAGCTAGACATTCAGAAATTTCTTATGTCGAGCTAGACAATCGACATTCAGCTCAACATTCGATCTATAATAATGATCGAGGTATTCTTAAAGTAAATGTTGAGCTAGACAATCAACAATCAGCTAGACATTTGATAATTTCTTATGTCGAGCTAGACAATCAACATTCAGCTCAACATTCGATCTATAATGATTATCAAAGTATCCTTAAAGTGAATGTCGAGCTAGACAATCAACAATCAGCTAGACATTCGATAATTTCTTATGTCGAGCTAGACAATCGACATTCAGCTCAATATTCGATCTATAATAAAAATCAAAGAATTTTCAAAGTGAATGTTTAGATAGGCAATCGACAATCAGCTACACATTCAGAAATTTCTTATGTCGAGTTAGACAATCGACATTCAGCTCAACATTCGATCAATAATAATGATCGAGGTTTTCTTAAAGTGAATGTTTAGCTAGACAATCAACAATCAGCTAGACATTCGATAATTTCTTATGCAGAGCTAGACAATCGACATTCAGCTCAACATTCGATCTATAATAGCTGATTGTTGATTGTCTAGCTCAATATTCACTTTAAGAAAACCTAGATCATTATCATTGATCGAATGTTGAGCTGAATTTCGATTGTCTAGCTCGACATAAGAAATTTATAAATGTCTAGCTGATTGTCGATCGTCTAGCTCAACATTCACTTTGAAAATTCTTTGATTTTTATTATAGATCGAATGTTGAGCTGAAAGTTGATTGTCTAGCTCGACATCAGAAATTATCGAATGTCTAGCTGATTGTTGATTGTCTAGCTCCACATTCAATTTAAGGATACTTTGATAATTATTACAGGTCGAATGTTGAGCTGAATGTTGATTGTATAGCTCGACATAAGAAATTTTCGAATGTCTAGCTGATTGTTGATTGTCTAGCTCAACATTCACTTTGAGAATTGTTTAATTATCAATAAAGATCGAATGTTGAGCTGAATGTTGATTGTCTAGCTCAACATAAGAAATTATCGAATGTCCAGCTGATTGTTGATTGTCTAGCTCAAAATTCACTTTAAGAAAACCTCGATCATTATAATAGATCGTATGTTGAGCTGAATGTCGATTGTCTAGCTCGACATAAGAAATTTCTGAATGTCTAGCTGATTGTCGATTGTCTAGCGCAACATTCCCTTTGAAAATTCTTTGATTTTTATTATAGATCGAATGTTGAGCTGAATGACGATTGTCTAGCTTGGCATAAGAAATAATCGAATGTCTAGCTGATTGTTGATTGGCTAGCTCAACATTCACTTTAATGATACTTTGATAATTATTACAGGTCGAATATTGAGCTGAATGTTGATTGTCTAGCTCGACATAAGAAATTTTCAAATGTCTAGCTGATTGTTGATTGTCTAGCTAAACATTCATTTTAAGAATACTTTGATTATTATTACAAGGCAAATGCTGAGCTGAATGTCGATTGTCTAGATCGACATAAGAAATTTCTGAATGTCAAGCTGATTGTCGATTGTCTAGCTAAACATTCACTTTGAAAATTCTTTGATTTTTATTATAGATCAAATGTTGAGCTGAATGTCGATTGTCTAGCTCGACATAATAAATTATCGAATGTCTAGCTGATTGTTGATTATCTAGCTCGACATTCACTTTAAAAATACTTTGATAAATATTACAGGCCGAATGTTGAGCTGAATGTTGATTGTCTAGCTCGATATAAGAAATTTTTCGAATGTCTAGCTGATTGTTGATTGTCTAGCTCAACATTCACTTTGAGAATTGTTTTATTATCATTTTAGATCGAATATCGAGCTGAATGTTGATTGTCTAGCTCGACATAAGAAATTATCGAATGTCTAGCTGATTGCTGATCGTCTAGCTCAACATTCACTTTAAGAAAACCTCGATAATTATTATAGATCGAATGTTGAGCTGAATGTTGATTGTCTAGATCGACATAAGAAATTTTCAAATGTCTAGCTGATTGTTGATTGTCTAGCTAAACATTCATTTTAAGAATACACTGATTATTATTACAAGGCGAATGCTGAGCTGAATGTCGATTGTCTAGATCGACATAAGAAATTTCTGAATGTCAAGCTGATTGTCGATTGTCTAGCTAAACATTTACTTTGAAAATTCTTTGATTTTTATTATAGATCAAATGTTGAGCTGAATGTCGATTGTCTAGCTCGACATAATAAATTATCGAATGTCTAGCTGATTGTTGATTATCTAGCTCGACATTCACTTTAAAGATATTTTGATAAATATTACAGGTCGAATGTTGAGCTGAATGTTGATTGTCTAGCTCGACATAAGAATTTTTTCCAATGTCTAGCTGATTGTTGATTGTCTAGCTCAACATTCACTTTGAGAATTGTTTTATTATCATTTTAGATCGAATATTGAGCTGAATGTTTATTGTCTAGCTCGACATAAGAAATTATCGAATGTCTAGCTGATTGCTGATTGTCTAGCTCAACATTCACTTTAAGAAAACCTCGATCATTATTATAGATCGAATGTTGAGCTGAATGTCGATTGTCTTGCTCGACATAAGAAATTTCTGAATGTCTAGCTAATTGTCGATTGTCTAGCTCAACATTTACTTTGAAAATTCTTTGATTTTTATTATAGATCGAATGTTGAGCTGAATGTCGATTGTCTAGCTCGGCATCAGAAATTATCGAACGTCTAGCTGATTGTTGATTGTCTAGCTCGACATTCACTTTAAGGATACTTTGATAATTATTACAGGTCGAATGTTGAGCAGAATGTTGATTGTCTAGCTCGACATAAGAAATTTTCGAATGTTTAGCTGATTGTTGATTGTCTAGCTCAACATTCACTTTCAGAATTGTTTAATTATCAATAAAGATCGAATGTTGAGCTGAATGTTGATTGTCTAGCTCAACATAAGAAATTATCGAATGTCCAGCTGATTGTTGATTGTTTAGCTCAACATTCATTTTAAGACTACTTTGATTATTATTACAAGTCGAATGTTGAGCTGAATGTCGATTGTCTAGCTAGACATAAGAAATTATCGAATGTCTAGCTGATTGTTGATTGTTAAGCTCAACATTCACTTTAAGAAAACCTTGATCATTATTATTGATCGAATGTTGAGCTGAATGTCGATTGTCTAGCTCGACATAAGTAATTTCTGAATGTCTAGCTGATTGTCGATTGTCTA